GATTGTGGCTTATTGAATGGATCGGGTGTTGCGTTCCGACACACTAACTTGGATAGGTTGCCACGTTTCGGCATAAGTATGGGATCGATTTCCACGTTCCGGCATAAACATTGGATTGGGTACCACGTTCCGGTATGCTAACAGTTTGGGTGTGGGTTCCATGAGAGGACCATTGGTTTGACATAATTGTATATCTTGATAAATGTGAAATTGTTCGTTGTTCGTAAATGATATCCATATTGTGTATATATTTGGTGTATACATGTTATTATATTGTTGTAATGACTTATGTATATTGCACTTAGTGGGATAGCCACGTGATCCTACTAGTACACTCTGGTTGTGTACTGATACTACACTTGCTCTTTCTTTGTTTAGTACAGGGCATCTTCAGGCGGCTATTGATAGACCTCAGCTAAGTGACTAATGAGCGTGACCGGATTCAAGGGTGAGCCAGTTCTTTCTTGTTTAAGTCCACTATTTTCGGACTCAGACTATTTGTTTAAGGTGTTGTTTAGTTTCAGGGTTGTACCCCTTGTTCTTAGACTTGTCGTTAGTAGAGTTTTGTTACATTGACTTTCAGGTTCTAAGGGTTATTCTTCCGCATTAGTTTGGTTAGTTGTTTGTTAAAACCTTGGAGTTTATGGGGACTTCATTTTTATAGTCATTTAAATATGCTTTCATATCTTTAAATGTCTTAGTTTTCATAAAATTTGTTAGTTTAGGTTGTAGTAATGGTTCTCCCACCATAGGGTTAGTGTGGGTGTCAATCACGACGGTCTGGGTGGTGACAAAGTTGGTATCAGAGTCCTAGGTTCGTTGATCTCATTGTACCAAAACGAATCTAGTAGAGTCTTGCGGAACGGTACAATGACGTCCATACTTTTCTTCGAGAGGCTATAGGACTTTAGAAAAAAAAACTCACTTCTTTCTACTCCTTCGTTCTATGACTTAATCCAATTGGTATCTGGTGATACAAATTGGTATCTTTCATCCTTCACTCTATGGTCCGGACTAGAGCAACAAAAGTGGTTACACCATCACTAGCAAGAGAGGATGTGTATAAACTACCGACAGTTGAATAGGGCCACAATTCAAAACAAGTATCCATTGCCTCAGATAAATGCCCTTTTTGACCAATTGCAAGGTGCATCGGTTTTCTCTAAGATTGATTTAATGTCTGGTTACCATCAATTAAAGATTGACACTACAAGAAAAGTGTGAATTACATGGGGAGTAGTATGAAAATCCGTAGGAAACTTATTTTCCTGCAAATTTTCATACTAATCCCCATGTAATTCACACTTTTCTTGTAGTGTGAGGCGGATAAGAATTTGTTCGACCAAGTTCTATGATTGAAATTAGCAGTTTTGTGGGGATCGCTAGCTACTATTGTCGCTTGTGGTATGAGTTGAGTCCAATTGGTAACTCCCGATTCCAATTGGTATCTCAACGAAGTGAACTAGACATCGTAGTCCCGACTGAAGAGACACAAGCAAGTTAATTGGAACTGAAAAGATTCCAATTGGTATCTGACCTTAGGGGTCGCATAAGGCATAGATGATCAGTAACGGTCATCTATGGAACAAACTTATTAAAGAATTTGGTCTTATCTGTAAGTTGTCACTGCTTGAGTGTCGTGAAACTTGTTGTGAAAAGAAAGTCATCACGAGATTACGTGCAAAGGTCTAGATAAATTACGATGTGGTTCGTAAGCGAGAAATATGGACGTGCGATGCGACCAACTGATAATTGTGTGAGTGTTTGGGTATATCCTGGGGATATATGTGCGGTAGTGTTGAAACGATGTAAAAGAATTCTAAAGTGCCTATTTCGTTGGGTTGACTAGGGGTGGACAAATTGTCCTAGCTAAAGGGATTTTCTTTAATGCCTATTAATAGCCGGGAAATTTAGGGGAAATATAGAAAAGAGAGGAACCCCATAAATTGTTTGTAGGGGTTATGTTTTCGTCAGGGCCGCTGGGGCGGGATTTTCCCCGTCACGGCGAAATCTCTAGTGCGGGATTTCTCCCACCAGAGCAGGACAGGATGAGACAGAATCTCAACCCTGTCTCACATGTTTTCCCCTAGACACAATTATGGACCCCGAATCATACCCGAACTAACTTCGCGATCTAATTCAGTGTTCAGCAATCAAATATAAGTTATAAGGTGTGTTAAAATTGTGGAGAACTTGGGCATAAGAGGAGGAAATCAGTGAGGCCGTAGAGGTCGGGGAAATGGTAATGCAGGTAGAGAAGTAGTGCAGCCAGGCAAGGAGGTTTCCCGTCAAGAGGACATGGCTCAGTTTTATGTTTTTCTGGGTAAGACCAAGTTTGAGGATGTGATGCAGTGGTCACAAGAGCTACTCTTGTATGTGCCCGAATGGCTATTGTTTTGTTTGATCCGGGTTCTACTTATTCGTATGTGTCAATTCAATTGCCTTGGGATTTGATGTGGTTTGTGATATACTTGATGCCCCCATCCATGTTTCTACCCTAGTTGAAGAGTCAATCATAGTCACCCATGTATATCTTGCTGTCCTGTTGTGTTTATAGATTTTTAGATTTGGGTTGATTTGGTTATACTGGATATGACTGACTTGATATAATCTTAGGCATGGCTTTGTTGTCCCCCTATTATACCAGGCATAATTGTAATACCAAGTCGGTAACTCTAGATATCCCTGGTAGGGAAAGATTAGAGTGGGAAGGGGTATACAAGCCTAAGCTAGCTAAGATCATATCCTCCATTCGGGCGAGGAAACTGGTAGGGTAGAGTTGTTTGGCTTATTTGGCTCATGTTTGGGATGTTGAGGTTGAGTCTCCCTCTATTGAGTCTGTTTATGTGGTGTCTCAGTTGAAGGAAGTGTTACCTATGGATTTTTCCTGGTATACCTCCATATAGAGATATAGATTTCTGCATTGACTTGAAAACTAACACTTGCCCCATTTTCATCCCTCCATATCGTATGGCTCTAGAAAAATTAAGAGAGCTTAAGGCTCATATCCAAGAGCTTCTTGATAAAGGGTTCACTACAACAAATTTGGCCTAAGGCCACACTGATTTTAGGGCACACTTAATAAATATTGCCAAAAATATATAAGGGCACACTTTTAAAGTGTAGCCTTTGTTTAAAGCTTTTGACTACAGAAAATAAGACAACACTCAAAAAATGTGCTATTAAATAATATATATTACACTTTATAAGTGTTGCCTAATCATAGAATAATTAACAACACTTAATTATATGTATAGCTACGCTTTTAAGCGTGGTGAATTTATAATAATATTGGCAACACTTTATAAGTGTTAGGTTAAATAATCTCAAAAATATTTCAGCTAACTAATTTTTCCCTCCATATTGCTTTTAGGGGAATTACCCCCACAACTAACCAGTAAAAGGGCAAAAAAATATTCTCTCTAAATTCTACCCTCATCGGTTCTTAAAGTTATGAGATATCCCTCCTCCCGAACTCATCGTTCAATCTTGGGCATTAGATTGTCAAGGAAGATGTTACCTATCTCGCTTCAGCACTTCAACGAAGTAACAATGCCACCATAATCTTATTAGAGTCTGTCTCAGGTAGGGTTTTTGACATCTTCTCACAAATTTTAAGAAAAATCTGAAATTTTTGCTAGTTTGGAGTTGAACGCGCCTGAACCACACACTGAAGTCGGGTCGGACCCGAATCCCGAAATGGTGTCCGATTCTGTGCAGAAACTTGACGGAACAATTGAGGAAGATGCTGCTAATGTTGATGGGTCTGTACCTAAACGGCCTCATTTGGAGGAAAAAGCTAATGGATTGGGTATTTTCCTCGTTTTCCTCTTTCTTTTAGAGCTAACCCTTGTTGCAGTTTACATTGTTTTAGTGTCTTGCATTGTGATTTTTGTGTAGTTATTTTTGGTGTTTAGTCTTCATTTTGGTGTTCTTGTTAAGAGCCAAAGATGATGATTTCGGTTTTGTTATGTGGTTGCTTTATTTCTTGAATTCTGGTGTGCAATGTTTTAGGTCTTTTTTATGAAGTTCTTGTGGTGGAAAATACTTGAGAAGGGGAATTGGGTTTTTGTGTTGAACTTGAAGTACTGGGTAAGTAGATATGTGTGTAATTAATGTTTATGTTGAGTTCAAATGTTGTTGAACACTACTTTTAGGGACTGCAATTGTTGTTAAATGTGAAAAGTACCAAGATTATATGTATAAGTAGTCCATTTAGGAAATCTTATTACCTTCTTTTACCCGTTTCCAGCTCGTTCTTCTATATGTTTCAGTGTCTTTTCTCTTATAAGTTGAAATTAATTACTCTCCTCATCTTATATCTAAATATCTAATTGATGATTTATTGTTTGTAATATATATCCAGAGTACTTACAAAGATGAAGTGCCATAGAAAAATATGATATTTATAGCTTTGGAGTTCTTCCATTGTTCTCCCTCTTGTTTCTCACCGTCAGAGTTTTGCTTGAAAGATTTGTTTTGAGATATTTTCAGCTTTGAATTCTGTTTGTTTTCTGGCATCTGTTTTCAATTGGTCAGGAGTGATTCAGTTTTGAAAATTCTGGAAATTTGGGATTTTTGTGTATTTTTTCGATGTCTTTTGATGGGATTTTGTTATTTTTTTTCTGATTCTAGTGTGGATGAATCTAAGTGACAGTTCTACGATATCTATGTTAGTCATTGACCTTTTGACTGAGGTAACTTTTTTTAGCTATTCCTTTGAACTCCTAGTTCTAAAGTCCTACCCAGGGACATTGTATGTAAGAAATTAATTTGATGATATTTCACGAGGATAAGTATTTGGATTGGTTGAAGGTTCTGAAATCGCATTATATCGGTTTTTGTTAGTATAAAATTAATGCTTGTAGATGATTATTGTACTAACAATAGCTTAGATGAAGAAATCAAGCTGAAGTTTGAGAGTTGATCCACCAAATTGAATATCAACAGTTGGTATGGGCACAACAGGAAATAATTCAAATTACGGATAAACTCGTTTCCTTGAACCTACAAATTATTGGAAAAATTTATTCCAACACAAATAGCAAACATGACTATTTTTTTTAAAGTGATATGCTAGATATTGGTTTTGTGAATGTTGAAGAATGATTTCACATTTAACAGGAGTATGCTAAAGACGTCCCTCAAAAGAACACTTTTATGATTTCTCTATATTCCTTTTTGTTTCAATTTTGATCTTTCCATGACTGATATTGGATGTTCTGTAGCAGTCATTTATGGCTCAATATTTGTTTTGTGAATGTTGAAGAATGATTTCACATTTAACAGGAGTATGCTAAAGACGTCCCTCAAAAGAACACTTTAATGATTTCTCTATCTTCCTCTATGTTTCAATTTTGATCTTTCCATGACTGGAGTATTGGATGTTCTCTAACAGTCATTTATGGCTCAACTTTTGCCAACACAGCATAAGGTTCAGTAGAGTGGTTTATTCCTAGTTCATTCTTCTTGATCAAAAGAGGTTGTCGGGTGGTGTTTTATTTGTTGTTATGTGATCATTACCACATTTTGACTCTTTTAACTACAGAATAATAATGCTTTTATTTCCTTACATCTCTTTTGAATGATGATTCTTTACTTAAGTTACATATTTCAACATGTCTAGTAAAAAATGTTGTCCAGTTATTACATCTTTGTAGTCTTTTTACTTTGATTGAGTGACTGAGAGTCTTACTTGGGTAATATTAGATAAGCCACTCATACATACTGCTTTAGATATATTTTCCTTGTTCTCGAAATAGAATTTTTTGAAGTGTATCTGGGAACTATTTTTCTTTTGTATCTTTTAGGTTGAGTGTATATTTTACCTTTCACAACAGTAATGAGCATCTTCCTATGGCAGTACACCTGGAAATCCGCATAATTCAAAAAGGTACACATGTGGTTCTTCCTCCGGTTCAGTTGTAATTGTCAATTCTGGATTGTGCTCAGCAGCATTGCGAACAAATGGTGGAGGTTGTATGACATGTCGGGCGTAGTGAATTAGTAATTTGTTTTAAAATGGTTATAGATTTTCAAGATTCATTCATTTGAAGTCCAGGTTCAGTAGGAATTCCTGCTTCTCTTTGCGGGGTTGTGGGCTTGAAAACAACATTTGGACGGACAGATATGATAGGGTTAGTTCATGAATGGCAGGTCAATGTGAATCTATACCTTAATGATTATGAATTATATTGTTCCCTTCCGGAAAACTTTCCGTCTGCTGTTAAAGTTATGATCTTCTGCCTCATACAACTTGCCTCTGTGCTCTTGCCTAAAAATTGTTCTTTTCTTTAGTTATCCATATTTTCTGGATTCTAAAAGTCTCTATGTTTAACATGTACTCTTCAATATCTGTAAAGGGCATTTTTCATTTTTCTAGTGGATAGGTGAAACAATCATTATAAACCTATAACTATGTGTAAGGCATGATGAAATCAAGTATATTTTTTCTTGGCCATAGTTAAACTCAAAAGCATTATTTCCCAGGCACTTCATGGTATGAGAAATAAGGTAGCTTTGTAGAGAAGTGAAGCCTTTACTGCAGTAGTTTATAACTCTATTCTGCACATTGCTTAGAAATATAATCAAATAAGAGCCCCATACGCTTTCTATACACACACTATTTACATAATCCATACCGTGATACGACAACGAAGGAGACACCGAGTACATGCACTACTTACATCTTGCAGATTCATAAATAATTCAGATTTAAGATATCGGTAAAAAAAGAAAGGTTTTTGGCTTTCTATCCTTTCATTACAGAATCCAAAAACAAGAAAATGCCAATGTACTTCATGTCTCGTGAATGTTGTTTGAGTGCGCACAGAAGCAAACTAAACTTTTTTTATATTCATGAACATGGAAAGTGATGTTTCATATAGTCATGTCCAAGAAGCTAGATGCTAAAACAAATAATATTAAGTTCATTTTATTTTGTGATATGTTTCATTTTTGCCATTGTCAATGATATTAGAATGAACTCCCATACACTGTTGCAAGGGTAGATATGTGTATAATTTTGTCCATCTCTGTTCTTTTCTCAGGTCACTGTGGGAAGCAGGAACTGTCCCAATTATCGGACCCATCACAGCTACAGTTGAGGATGCCATACTTGTGTTAGTAATTGGGTTTTATTGCCAATTTCCTTACAAACAAATAGTCAATGAAAATCTCTGATATTCATCTTAGGATTTTTTATTTACCTCTTTGACTTGATTACATATGCACCTAAAATTATTATGGTGTTGCACTGTTTACATTCTGCATCAATTTCATTTAACTTTATGTGAGCTAAACAATGGTGAAGAAGATACAATTAGAACAACATTCACAGTACAGTCCCACAAGTGGGGTCCGGGGAGGCTGGAGTGTATGTAGGCAGACCTTTTAAAGATAGATCAATTAGGATGTATATATATTTTAAAATAATAGGTTGTATGTTTGGGGATCTTTTTGTTAAATTTGGTCCAGCTATCTTGATCGTGGTGATAAGACCACTCTTATGGTTGATATGTGTTGATTATTGGCATTTCCTTACAACTTTTCAGGTATGCAGCAATCTCGGGACATCTCCAGCTGATCGAATTCGGCTGAATCCTGTAATCACTCCCTAACTGTACTTTCGCAAAATTTCAAGATATTGTTCTGTTTGAGGGTTCAGTTTAACCTTTTTTCCCTTCATTAGTGTAAATACTTTAGTTAATATTAGTAAATAGAGTACCAGATCAGTTTTCTTACAATTGCTTTACAGGCTTTCATTTTGATGTTTGATTTCACGTGTTCTGACATTGACATGGTGTGCTATCTTAACCCCAACTGCATCTTACCTAATTTTTATGTCCTTGGTTTGCTCACACATGGATTCTTGCTTTCAGGATATGTATGATAAAGCTGACAAACTACTTTCTTCATCATTAAACGAGTGGGGTTTGTTATTAGCAGCATCAGACAATCTTAATCATGTTTGGGCTCAAACTCTTGGAGATCCATTTTTACGGCGGCTCATTTTAAGGTAGGTTGCCACTGTTCGCCAACATTTTCTTCCGTACTCATCTTAGTCATCTAGTGTCAAGCCTTGAAGTAGGGCCTCGAGTGGCTGAATATGGAAGTAGTTGATTTGACATTGAGCACCTAGCAAAATCTGATACTTCGCTGGTATAAATTACTGATTCACTCGTACATTTTTTTATTCCAAGATGTTGGTTCGGAGCGTCGGTTAAATTGGTATTTATTTTTATTTTCTCAAGGCTCATGGGTGTGAGGGTGGATATGATGTTGGTTCGGCATGTCAATTAAATTGGTCTCTATTTGTATTTTCTCAAGGCTTATGGGCGTGAGGGTGGATGTGGAAGTTGAGCATGAATTCTTTTTTGAGGAAATTTCTTGAGATTGGTAAAAAAAAATCATAAATGTGTAGCACAAAGGTTGTGCTAAAACCATATGTACAATTTAAAGGGAACATAAAGTTAGCTTTCTTGTACTTCCTAATACAGGAGTTCTAAAATATCCGAGGCACATAATTTAACTCCTGTACAAGCCTTTTCGTCTTCAAAAGACCTCTGTAATGATTGTTTCTCAGTCTCACTGATGCAGGGACATCCAACAAAATGGAACTTAGGTCTCCATTCCTCTGTTTCATTGTAGAGTTCCTGGTAGAATGATATTATTTCCCATTTAATAACTCGAGGCTATCACCCCTTTAATCTCCAATTTGTCATTTTTTAGGAAATTAAAATGACAAGTCAGTTGAATCCTTTAAGGGTTGTGTGGTTTGAAGTATTCGGAAATATAATCATGGTAGAATTTCTTGCATTGTTTTATCCCTTGTTTGGTCATTATTCTCAATCTCTCATATCCTGTATAGGCAATCTTCGTAAAACTTGTACAGGAATATCAACCTAATTCTTATAATACTATAAGAATATGTACTATATGTTAGATTCCTTTAATTTTTAATTTTATTATGAATGTGTAGGAAAATGTGGGAGATCCAATTTGAAATGGTGGCCTCAAAGACTATCGATCTATCGGACTGAATGATGAAGACTTGTTGAACAATGATGTTGTTTAAATTTGTGATTAATTCTTTTGCAATTCATTGGTAGTGCACATCTTGAAACATTGTTTTATTAGTATGTGTTGTACTAGATAAAATTAAGTTGTTTTTTGAATTTTACTATAAATATATACATTTGAATTAATATTTTTAGTCCGAAAATTTTTATTATTATTTTGAGTTCATATTTAGATAGTTTAATTTTTGCGATCATCTTAATAGAAAAGTAGTATATATTTCGACTACTGAATATATGCAAAATAGAATTGTAATTTTTTTAATATAGAATTGTGGCTACATTTCATAAATATTGTCTTAGAGTAGATGATAGCGACCACACTTTTCAAATGTGGCCTATAAGGTAGAAATGCAACACTTGAAAAGTGTCGTTTGAGGCCATTAAAAGTGTTGTCATATAATGTGTTACAAGTGTGGCCCTTGTTGCCCTAAGGCCATACTTTAGAAGTGTGGCCTTAGGGCAAAGGTTACGCTAGATTTGGCCACTCCTAGAAAAGTGTTGTCTAAAGTCAAAAAGTGTGGCTTTAGATCAAAGACTACGCTTTTTTACAATTTAGGCCACACTTTTCTAGGGTGGCAAAAGACCTAAAATGTTTTAGTGGTTCATCCGTCCTAGTGTTTCCAAGTGGGGTGCTCTTGTCTTGTTTGTTAGGAAGAAGGAGGGTAGTATGAGAACTGATGATTTTATCTTAATCCATAAGGCAGTGGATTAATACCAAAATGACAAGCTTATGGATAAAGAAAGATCCATTGAGTATACTTGGGTGAAGGAAATTGAAGATTTTAGTAAGAAAGTGCGTATAAATTGGGTTAGTCCTCTGAATTTGATGAGTATACCTGAGTTTGAGGTGTCATGATGATGGAAAGGTTGACTTCATAGTGATAGTCAAGGATGACGGAGCGTAATGGTAATAAGAGTCGTGATGGATTGTGACGGGATGCAACTATATAATAAGATTGTTAGTTAAGCGAATTTTGTATAGTATTACGACTTGCGAGTACCTAAGATTGTGGTTTTCTAATATTTGGTGAGTAACGTGGTTGTATGGCAAGCTTTAAGAGATGGTGGGACACCATTCGAATAGAAGTTAAAGAGCTAGAGTCATAATGAAGAAAAATAGTGGGATGTAGTGCAACCTTTAGAGAGCGGCGAAAGCAAAAATATTGTATTGATTACAAAGGCTAAAGAGATATCTTCATAGGGGTAGATAATTGGATTCAGAGACGTGTGATTTCATTCGTTTTGTTATGGTTATGGTAATAGTGTCACAAGTCCATCAGATTTGGTTAAAAACTATTGGAAAGGACTTGAGAAATGAGTGTACAAACGTTAGCTCGAGTGTGATAATAAGTGCTTTGGTTTTATTTTTGAGTTTAGTAATGAGTGCGATGGAACTTTTAGGGAAGGATATTGTAAGATCGATGGAGATGCGATCAATAATAAGCAAAGATCCATGAATTCATAAGAATCTTCAAGGTACAAGCTAATGTTGATAGATAAGGGAATTGTGTTATACAGTTGAATTTACAATTCAGATTTTTCATTGTAAGTCTACATTCGAGGTAATATATATTGTCAAGGTGAGAAATGATCAATTGTATAAGGTATTGAACCTTTGAAAGGACTTACGTCTGGGTTGAGTCGTAGAGTTTATTACTATTGATTATTAAGTACCTAAGAAAGGTTTCATTTAAAAAGTGTTGGTTTATAATAAGGTAAATGGTCGGAGTGCTTATGATGGTTGTTAGTATTGTGAGTATGATTCACTAACTATGCTCTCGTGTGTTTTCACTTTTGTGGGTGGATCCCTAATGGTGGATCAGGGGTACCAAATCCTGCGATGTTCTCTTAGTTGAGTGGGAAGATTGGGAAGATTTGGTTATTTCGAATGTCATAATTGGTGTTGTCTTGGAGTTGTTAAAGTATTTTAGTGGTTCTACATGCACCACCGTGCTTATGAGAATTTATAAAAGAGCTACCATGAGTATTTATTGTTGTCCGACAATCTAATATTTCATCTTGTCGTCGAGGTCATGTATCGATTATGTGTGGTTGAATGTGGGGATCATTGAATCCAATTCTATTGTTTTTAAGAGGTAATCTGCAATTATTAAATCTAGCATTTCGATAGTGTTGTTGGAGGGCTTGTATGCTTGGACATATCCCTCGATCAGTATCTGATTTCTGAAGATAAAATTTGTTATAACTTAAGCTCATTGGAATTTATGTTGTGGGATGGAGATATTGTTAAGAACTATGATTATTTGGGTATTATGAGTGTGTGTTGGTTGATTCAGGTTCACTTCTATTTGTAGCGAGTATTGACTCAGAATTTTATCATGCTTAAGTGCTAAAGGATTCGTCCGGATGATTGTGTCAAGGTCCTTGATAACATGTTGTAGACGTGTGTACGATCAACTTTGGTGGTTGTTGGGAATCACTTTTGTTGTAGTTAAGTTTACATACAACAATATTTAGCACTCGAGTATTGAGATAACTTCATTGAGGCATTGTATGGGAGGATGTGTAGGTGTTCAAAAGAGTTGATTTGGTGAAAGATGTCCAGGGTAAGGTGAAAAGTATCCAATCTAAGCTTCTAACAGCCCAGAGTCAACAGAAAAGTATGTGGGACAAGTATCCCCAGTTATTCGACGATTCAGATACTACTATATTCTTGTTTTAGGCCTTTTCTCCTAGTTTGTCACTCGGGGATGAGTGATGGGTAAATTGGTATCTATTGTAACGACATGTTCCCGTCGTTATAGAAAAGCCAATGGGGGAAAGAATTGGGACCAGAAAACTTTTGAGTAGTAACTTTGGATTTCCTAGCCTAGTCCAGATTTGGATGAAATCGGAGTCAGTGAGGTTTAGGGAAATAAGGTAACAATTAGGTGATATATTTATGATTTTGATTACATAAGTAGTTAGATAAGTCGTTAAGGAATCCATACGACTTTACGGAATGGAATTCGGGTAAGTAAAACTCTCGAAATCGATCTTAGCGTGGACGATATTTTATGAGCGTCGTTGGTTAAAGGTGTGTTGTGTGATGGGGGTCTTGGAATTATTAAAACAGCTCACTGTTTTGTGCAAGCCGCTTTGGCGGAGGTTTTGGTCGCTCTGGCGGCGCCGCTGTAGCGGGATGGGTCCCACCGTAGCGGAACAGACGCGACTTAAGTCGCAAATAAAACCCCAAAAACGTTTATTCTGCACTTTTCGACTTTGAGAGCTAAGGAACGACCTCTTGATAGTTTTCCACCATTCTTGAGGCTAAATGTATGGTTTTAACTCCCCGGATCCATTTTTCGATCCGTAGAACGTAATCTAATGGGTAATTATCGATGGGGGAAAGGTTTGATTTGGTAACTAATGGTGGAAAAGCCCTAAATTGGGTATTAGGATCTTGGGTTTGGTCTAGGGTTATTGGGTTTGTTATAATCCGGATAATTAGACCTTTGATTGTTGATCCTTATGTTAATTGTATATTTTTAGACCACGAACAAGTGAGAAGAATCTGGAAAGGAAGATTCAAGTGCCTTAGGGGATTCAAGCTTAGATTTGAGGTAGGTGATGGTTGTGATTTCATGATCGTGTGATATATGTTTGTTCTTGCTTCATTATAATACGTGTATGTATATGAATGTTGCACTATTGATCACACTACTTGTGAATGTAGGATATATGAATGATGAATGCCTTGAATCATGACTTGATTGTATGATTATGAGAATGTACTTTGTGATTGTCATTGTGGCTTGTTGAATGGATCGGGTGTTACGTTCCGACACACTAAC